ATGGCCCCCTGGAGAACCCAACTGGAGAATCTCATGAAGGAAGTTTCTTCTGACCTTTCAGAAAGTAGATAAGAAGTTTCAATGACTTGCTGAGGCAGAAGCCATCCTCCCTGCTCATACGATTGGGATGGAGCACATTCCAATTACCTCCCTGACGATGCTGGTGTCAATGGAGCTGGATGTGATGTCCCAAATTGATATTATGTTCTGCCATGGCTTACATGTCCAGATGTTCCAGCTGGATATGCTGATGGTGCTCCTTCAGTATAATGTCAATTGAATGGCCTCTGTGTCCAGTGTAGACCTGACTGCATTCACAACAGATACTGTATACACCCAGCATCCTCACTCCCAGACTGTCCTCTCCTGGGTAGAGGAAACTAGAGATTTTCCTTGATTGAAGGCCAACAAACTTGATGTTATGCAGCACCATTCTAATGCAGCTGATGATTGACCCAACATAAGGCTGGATAGAAAGCAACTGAATCTGGCTTGCCATGGGGCAGAGCAACCCATGTGATAGAACTGAGAGCCCTATGAATCTGCCAATCACTCTAGCAATTCTGCCAGAATGTCTCCATCAGAACTGGCAGCTCCATTGTGAAGGCTATTCTGATTCCAAGAGATCTAGCTCTGTACTCCTATAAACACCAGTGTCCAATGTGTCCAGAAAGGGAAGGTGGCTATCTCTTTTTGTCTCCATGGTGAACTGAATGTTCCGATGGACACTATTCAGGTGGTTGAGGAAGTCCTTCAGCCTGCTGGGACTCAGGGGCTCATGGGCTGCCTGAAGAAATGACGCCTCCTTATTTCCTCTATGAAGGAACTGGTGATGACCAGAGACAGTGGCAAACCCATGGTCACACCATCGGTCTGTTCATGGAACTGGCCACTGGCACTGAAGTATGAGGAGGTTAAGACATGTCAGAGGAGCTTCAGGACATTCTTCTCTAAACATTGACCTAGGAGACTGATGACCTCCCTAATTAGCACCTTGGTGAAGATTGGCACATCATACTGAAGCTGATCATAGTCCTGGGGTCACGAAAGACCCATGCACACCCAACTTCTCTGCCTACTGCACACCTATGACTTCTCTCCATGGTTCTCTGATAGAGCCAATTGGAACTGATGGTGTGGCTTCCAAAGTCCTTTCTGTTTCTATTTAATCCAACATTTTCACAAGCCACATGCTTTGCTTGCTGCCTGCTTTATACTGGTTTCTTGCTTGGCATACTCTCCAACCCTGAAGATGGAAACAACATGTTCCTCCAAAATGTTGGTTGACTTATAACAGACTGCGTGGCATTACATCCCAGAAGATAGAAGTCTTCTGTTATTACTCTTACTATTCCAGAGAGTTCATGATGGTAAGATTACTGAAATTTCTACAGTTTTTTTTGTTGTAGTTTAATCAGACTGAAAACCTTTAGATTTTCGTAGTGTGAACAACACATGTGCCTGGATTCATTTCAATTCAAATGCTTGTCAGTGATTGCAATCAGTATTGCATTTTTTACTGACAGATAAGTAGTAGTATTTTAGAACACACATAGCCTTGAAGTAGTGCTGGAGGCTGGATTTTGAGAGTGGAGAATTGCATTGTTTGTGCTAAAGCTAAAGCTATGTGAGATTTGAGGTTTCCATGTCATTGACTATGAAGCTTAATGTTTTCTGGGATTCAGTGCCATATATTGTGTTTGGTATTTATGGATGTTTCATAAGAGTCTGCTGCCTCCTTTGCTTAGGTTACTCTTCTACCCTGAGGGTGGAAGCAGCATATTCCCTTGATATGTCAGTAAATGATGTCAGATCTCAGGAGACAATAATCTTATTTCTTCAAGCTGTACATTTGTCATACAAAATTTGGTGGTCTTCATGTAATTACTAATACGGGGTAATACTATTTCATTTTCATTTCATTTCATTTATTCACCTTCCATAAATCCTGTCGAGAGTACATTCTCATGCGGATGTGGAAATCGACCTAGTTACAGTTTCTTGTAGATAAAATAATTGTGGCAGGTTTTTCTTTGTGTTTTCCCCTGTCAGTTGTAATTTGATCATTGCCCCATATCACTGCCCTTGAGGTCCATGATAGGCCTGATCTGCCATCACATTACCACAACTTTGGTCCTCACTTGGAGCTTCGTCTCTGACCTAGCACTTAGCTGGACTTGAGGTAAGGAAGTTCACTTAAGTAGTACTTACTAACAGGAATATTTGTCACCTACACGTGACATATACCATAGATAACACCTGTCAAAATCACAAAATTTATTCCAGGAATTCAAAATTAATATGGTAATAGGTTTGTGTAGAAGGCTACTCTGAATTGATATAGTTTATATGTCATATTTAAATAGTCTGAGGATGACTTGTGACTTCCTTCCACAGCAACTACAGTAAGTAAAAATCTTCTTTGCAGCCTTCTTATCAATCATCAAAATCACAAATTTGTTTATTACTATAGGTAAATAGGTGATGCACGTGTTGTTTACCCTGACAGTTCCACTGTATAACTTCTTTTACCTTGTGGATTATGCCATCCTGCTGAATTACCCCTTATTGCTTTATTTCCCAAATGCACACAGAATATCAGCAGCCCAAACAAACTGGGGACTATGTTTGTTTGATTTGCATCCTCAAAACCGTCTTCACATTCTGAAAATATATTGGGAGTCTGAGTTTGATATGAAGTCATATGTTTAAATTCTTATATTCAGATCGTTTACTGATAAAATTGAAAGGTCTGTAGTGATTAGAAATGATAATTATCATGTGTTCAAGTTCTACTTAATAGGTGGACAAAGCACTGTCAATTCTATGTATAAGATGCTTTCCTAAGCATTGTTTACTGCAAAAAAAAAATCTCACAGGAAACAAGATGGACAAATCTTATTCAGTTGTAATGTACATTCATGCTACCTATGTACACAACTTTGGAAAGACTTACAAGCTCTTTTTTAATTATATGCTCTTCCACATATTATTCTTTCCCTAATACATGTCTGCTTCATAATGACATAATCTGACACTGAATCAGGATACACATACACATACAGGTACCAAATTATGATGAGTAATGGAGTCACTTTGCTGTTTTATGAAAAAAGATATTGATGACTGCACAATATTCTTCACATGACCACACACACAGAAGAGAGAACTCTACTGATAATACACACCATGTTGTATGTATAATAGTTTATGCTAATATATATAAAGACCACAGGACCACTGTATCTACATTGGTCTCTTCCACTGAGTGCAAATCTGACTGAATCAACTGTGAAAACTGGAAAACTCTAAGGGAATCAGCAGTGTGAAAGACTAAAAAAAATTTATTAGACTTCTCGATATTTTAAATTTATCAGCATTTCGACATTTAACATGATGCAGTAGAACCAGCATAGTCAGCACAGATAATGTTATTAAAATGACCACACATAGACATAACCTGAAAATGTAAACATTGACCACTGTAGCAAGTATATAATAATTTATGTAGAACCAGCATAGTAAGCATAGACAGTGTTATTAAAATGATCACACATAGATATAATCTGAAAATGTAAACACTGGCCAGTGTAGCAAGTGTATAATAATTTATGTGAGCAGCTTGTGGATGGCCAAAGAGGCTAAAACATGTTATGTTTTAAATGTGTATGTGATTAGTGCAATTGTATACAATTTTGATTGATGGAATCTCATATACTCTGTATATATGTTTATGGTGTGTGCCTATACCAGGTTTCACATTCCAGGCTCCAGTGGTTACAGTAGTTATCACTGTCTAACTGAAAAATTATAAAAATATTTACATGGCTTCTTTTTTTCCTATTCTACAAAAACATTACCTCAAGAAATGTTCCATACTTTTCTGAGATGTGTTACAGCTTTTCACGTCCCTAAATTAACTTGTGCTAGTGGCTTTTTCTCCTCATAAGTTACACATCAGCCATATTTGTATTACTTGTAACAGGGAATTAAAAAGTACAGCATTTGGGTGGTGTCCAGTGGCATAATGTTCGAATGTCACATGTTACAAAAGTTGAAATAGGATAGACATGACAATCATGTGCGTGTGCGCACGCACACACACACCATGATGATCTCATAATACTACTTTCTTCCTTAAGAAAGAGAAGTAAACCAAAAATATACCTGTTACTTTCATACTAGATGCTGGTGGAAAATTGAATAGTTAAGTAATATAATAGTTGTTCATTTTTATCTACTTATCAATACTGTCATAGCCATTCATAATGGAAATTCAGCAGTTTATTAAAATTTCTTGTTCATGAACAAAATTATATTATTTATTGCTTTTCTCTTTTGTATGTTGAAAACAAATAGTAGTATTTATACAAACCAAAGTACAGAAATACTTCATGAAAATAAATGCACTATTGCATGAAATTATTGTTATGGACTTCTGTTCAACTATATAAAAACATGCTATACATTTTCTGTGACAATATGAAAATTATTGTTGTGGAGTCTCCATTCAACAATAATGGATGGAGTAAGGGACTCAAGAAGTAACATTTCTGACTTATATTCAGGAAGTATCTGATTCAAATCTTGGCCAGGTCACTGACCATCCTGACTGAAGTTTTCATGTTTTTTGTCAGACTCTTGCATCAAACACCATGGTAGCATCTTAATCATTGGACACTATATAATCTGAGCTATTGACAGCCTCATCACTGCTTATAGATAAGACAATGTGAACACTACAGTGGCATCTTGATACATTAATGTGAGAACTATTTTTTGTCAGCATTAAACTGTAACTCGCAGTTGTAAAATACATTTTTATTCAGAATCAAACTTAATTTGTCTCCCAACGTATAGATTTTATAGCAATGATTAGGGTTATATGTGTGAAGTTGGTTTTGAGTGTAATGTTGTGACGGGCATGCCGAGCAAAGCTTCCAGTAACATGGCAAGCGGCAGAAAGGGCTGAGCTGAGTCCTAATGTGGTTGTATTGCAGACATGAGACCCCAGTCCTAGCAAAACCCATCAAGCTAATTCATGTAGATGAAGACATTGTGGTGCTGGATAAACCGTGTTCTCTTCCGGTGAGTATGTCAGTGGGATTTACCCTTTTTCCGTGATAAAACACCAAAACTCCCGGTTCCTCACTTCTGACCTGTTCCAGTTTCAGTGTGTGAGACATGACGCCAGTTCTTCAGAAAGGATGTAATCCTGACATTACCAGAGGGTTGAAGGATAGTTCAACAGTACTGGCATTTAATGTATGTGTCAAATTAATCTCTGTTTGGAGTAAGGAACAATTTCCTGTTCAATGGAAGGAATCTATTATTGTACTAGTTCACAGGAAGGATGATAAAACTGACTGCAGTAATTATCATGTGATATTACTGCTGTCCATTTCATACAAAATTTTATCCAATATCTTTCTCTCAAGGCTAAGCCCATATATAGATAAAATTATTGAGGTTCATCAGTGTGGCTTTTGACATAAAAGATCAGCTACCGATCAAATTTTTTATATTCATCAGATACTGAAAAAAAAAAAGGAGTACAACGAGACAGTACATCAACTATTCATAGACTTCAAGGAAACCTACAATTCGGTTAGGATGAAGTATTCTACAATATACTCGTAGAGTTTGGGGTACTCGTGATTATTGATTAAATGTGTTTAAATGAAATACACAGTAAAGTCCATATAGGTAAATATTTGTCTGATAATCGTCCTATCCAGAACTGTATAAAACAAGGAGATGCTTTCTTGTCACTGCTTTTCAACTTTGTTTTAGAATATGCCATTAGGAAGGTCCAGGGAAACCAGATGGGACTGAAATTAAATGGGACTCATCAGCTGTTGGCCTATGCCGATGATGTGAATCTGCTGGATGATAGTATAGATACCACAAAGAAAAACACAGACTTTAAATTATGCTAGTAAGGAGGTTGGTCTAGAAGTAAACACAGAGAAACAAAATATATGTTGCTGTCTCATCATGACATAAGGACAGGTAACAGATGTTTTGAAAATGTGGCACAGATATTTGGGAATGACTATAACAAATCAAAACCTGATTCAGGAAGAAATTAAGAGGAGATTGAATTTGGGTAATACTTACTACCATTCAGTCCAGAACCTTTTGTCTTCTCATTTGCTGTCTAAAAATGTTAAAGTCTGAATATACAAGACTATAATTTTACCTTTGGGCCTGTATGGATGTGAAACTTTGTCTCTGAAATTAAAGGAGGAACATAGATTGAGGTGGGTACGAGGTAGCTTAGTGGTTAAGGTACTATGCTACAAGCCGGAAGGTCACGGGTTCAAGTCCCGATGAGGTCATTGGATTTTTTTCAATTGACCTAATCCTTCTGGCCGCACTACATCCTGGGGTTTACTCAGCCTCTAACAGAACTGAGTACCAGGAATTAATTAAATGATTTTCCTGGCGAGTGAAACACGGCTGGTGCGTAAGGCTGGCAACCGTACGGCCATCTTTGAGCCGATTGTCAAGGTAATGTGGGACCCTTAACGTCTCACAACCTTGTGGGCCTTCACGGCCTGTTACAGGGATAGCTTTACCTTTTTTTTT